GGTCTGGGAGTGCGATAGAGATGGCGTCACGGCGTCACAATGTGACTGAGCAAAATAGTGAAGTCACCACGTGATTCAGGGTATTTGCTCTGCTCATTCATCACGAACCTTGTTATGGTCATCAAATCAGTCCTATGAGCATCCGCTGCTTGATCCATGGCTAGCTAACTCTTCCTTTATTGATTAAAGTATTATCTGTTGATTGGTATTGGGGTTTTAAGATTATGGGAAGCATTAAAAATGTGTTACTGCACTCAGTTTTCTTTAAGGCGTATGTTTATTTTTATGTTTATTCAAAAAGTATAATTTTTTAGTGGAAAACATCCTCAGCTAAGTTGCAATGCTTTTATTTTTCAAAAAACTAGATCCTTGATGCTTAAATGTATACTTAATTCCTATTGAGAGTTTCATCTTTTGCAGCTTTCTAGATGATAAATTGGAGAGTAAATCTCACAAGTTGAGATAAAGGAATCTTAAACGATTAAAGACATCGGTGTAGATTTCTTGTGCTATCCTTTAATTTTTTATATCCTTATTTGCTACTTCAAATATATTCCTCGGACTTGCGATCTGCTGAATTGTCTTTGAAGAAGAACTATAAAGTCTTCATTGTGTCATGAATCGTGGAGTCTTCATATGTACAGTTCATACTTGTTTATTTGAAGAAGAACTGTAAAGTCTTCATATGTCTTTGAATAAGAAATGTAAAATCTTCATACTTGTTTATTTGTATGACATATTTGGTCGAATTATCTTTAGATATGGAAAATAATGGAAGCACTACTAGCATTGTTTGATGTATAGTTGTAACTTGTTGTATGCCATCTCGCTTGTTTTTGTTTGCTTAATACTTAGGCTCTTAGCACTTAGCAGTACGTGACACATGAATATGTATTAAACCGAAACCGTACTGAAACCGTACCGAACCAAACAAAGAAATACCGAACCGTACCGAACTACTTTGGTACGGTATTTGGTATACACAATTGATAAACCGAATACCGAACCAAAATTTTTAAATACCGAACCGAAAACCGAATGCCCACACCTAATCGTTATTCTTTTCAAGTTCCTCCTCGGTTTCTGAGTAATCAGAACCGAAACTAGAAGAGTTTGTTGCATCAGGCTGAGCTGGAGGCGTTCTCGAGCAGTCAACTCCAGCGCTTGGGCCTTGGCGATCTCATCATCAATATCAATGACTCCTACTTTCGCCTATTTCAAGGTTTAACTCCTCATATGATATATAGAATGTGTTTTTTTGATGATGAGGGAATCCCCTCGGCACTGAAGTTCTGATTAAGCCGATCAACCTCCGTCAAAAGGCCATCTCGCTAGACTCATGGCGCTAAGGCTAAGATCGAGATCACAGATAGTGGTTATATGAACCTTATTATGTTCCATGATCTTCCTATGCCTATCCTTCATCTGGGAACGCTTCTCATCGGAGCAGCAGCCTCTTCAACCTTGGAATTCAAGGTTGCCTCTAAGTTATTCACTCTCTCAATGGAGGCAGTCTCGCGCTCGGTAGCGGCAAGCACGGCATCTTGAACTTCAGACCACTTAGCCTTAGCTTCTTGGAATTGAACATTTAATTGAGAAGCTTCTTGACTAAGGGCCACTACCTCCTATTTGCTAAGTTGTAGTTGGGCCTCAAGATCACTCACTTCAGCGGCCTTTGTTGGTCCTTCTCGGCCAACAATTGATCCCGCTCGGAATTAAGTCCCTTTTTTATCGAGGATCAATTTCTGAAGACCCTCAGAAGCAAGGAAGCTGGAATGCAAAGCAAATACCCAAGTTAGAAACCCTGTCATAGCAAGTCAGGCAGTAAAGAGAGCAAGTACAATACCGTTGTTGCGTTGTGCATTGTATTATTTATCATATACTCCCCCGAAAGAGAGTGTATTTTCTTCTTATCTTTCTCTTAAGCTAGCTCTTCAGATAATTGGCGAGTTCCACCGACCTGGACAGTAGATGGCACTCTGTGGACACTGAGAGAGAGACACTCCTCCCCTGGGGATCTGCAAAAGGGGGCGAGTAGTTGTGCCCCAAATTCTCGTGGTCAGGGGACTAGGGAGGAGAGATCTTCCTCTCGGGCGTCTATGGCCGATGGGGGAGATGTAGCAGTTGCTGGTGATGAAGGTACAATCGGCATGGAAGGAGATGAAGACAATGTTGTTGCAGGTTGAGAAGCAGTTGTGGCAGAGGCAATGCTATTTGTTAATTTCTCACCAACCGAAGGTGGAAGAGGCCTGGTACTCGGCCTCATAGTACCGGGAGTAGCAATTGGGGCCGAAAAGGGAGAATTAACATTCTCCACTAAGTCAAATTCCCCTAGAGCGCTCGGGCAACGTCCTCGGTTGGGGTTCTAAGCTCTTCAGATTGAGCATTCGGTTGAGCTGATGAAGATAGTTGTCTCCTTTGAAGGGAAGCCTATTCATCACTAGCTTCCCCATCATCATCAATAACCATAGTGGTTGTGGCTGGCTCGGGTGCGACTTTCTTCATTTTCTTATTTTTCCCTTGACCGAGGAAGAACGCCATCTTTTTGGTTTCTTGTTCTCTGGTCGTGGACTCTAAGAAGAAGCACCTACTACCGGAAGCAGACCCGAGGGCACCCGTTCAGGTGAGAGCCTCATTCAACAGCCTCGTAGCCTCTGCGGGATCGACCAAAACATCCTCCTCAAGGATGGAGACAGAACCCTGAGGGAGACCTGAATTAAACAAAAAGGTATGGTTAGATAGTTTTCTTATGTACAAAGATGGAATGAAGGTTGAATCAGTTTACAGTGGTTCTTGGACCTCCACCCGTATTTGGGGTCCAATTCCTTCCACCGGTGGGTCTCTGGCATGGTGATATCCAGAATCTTTTGAATCCACCGGTCAAGGCCTTCAACCCTCGGAGGTGTCCACTGAGTTGTTAAAATTATTAATGAATAAGGGTTAACAATGACATAGTGTGCGTTTGGACATAAGAATTGTAAAATTCCAAAAACAAAGTGAAAATGGTATTTGAAAATTAGAGTTGTGTTTGGACATAAATATAATTTTGGGTTGTTTTTGAAATTTTGTGAGTAATTTGAGTGAAAATTTTGAAAAACAGCTTTTGGAGTTTTTCAAATTTTCAAAAAATTCCAAAATTTATTTTCAAGTGAAAATTGGAAATTTTATGTCCAAACACTGATTTCGAAAAAAAGTAAAAAAATTTTTATGTCCAAACGGGCTCATAAATCAGCCTATTTTCAGAGAATAAGATAAAATGTGAACTTAAGTGAATGAGTCCAGGACTCGGGGAAGGATGGAGTTGTAACCGTGATGATATCCCTGGTAGCAACGACGACAAACCACTACATCCATCCATGGTGATTGTCATCATCCATGTTGGTAAGCAATGCATGTCGGCAACGCTTACTGAAGTTTATTACTCCTCCGCAAAAGATTTTGGGGGAGTAGAGATTCATCGTATGAGCCAAGGTGAGGGGATCCTACATCTCCTAGAACAACCGCCACAGACAGGCCACCGTTTGCCACACCGAGGGGCCCACCTGAGCCAAACAGACTTGGTACCAGTGGCATAATTCCAAAATCAGAGGGTCAAGTCCCCTGCGCAAAGAAAACACACCCAAAGTGAAGGGGTACGTGTAAACGTAAGTGAGGCCCTTCTTAGTGAAGGTTACTCGCTCCACCAGATCGGGAGCAATGATGTTTAGGTCGTGGCAATCAGAGTCCTCCTTCACAGTAGGAATACTGGAAGGGCGAATAGAAGAAGGATATTTACCAACAGCCCAAGTTCGAGAGTTTGAAGTGGGAAACTTCTCTTCGAAGTCCTTGGCTGTGTTGAGATACTTGGGGATGATGGTGCTCACCGTGGGAGGGTCAGCATCAACATCAACCTCTCTCTTTGCTCCTCTTCGGGCCCCCACCGAAAAGAAGACCAGAGTTCTTAGAAGAGTTAGCATAAGAAACCATAATGATAAGAAGGTGATAAGAGTTTTTTAGAAGAAGATCAAAGAAAGATAAGGAAGTTAAAAGCAAAGAAGTTGAGAGAGTTTATGAAGATTGTTAGGAGTGAAAGAGGTAGAATGAGACGTAAAAGTAAAGTTATACGCGGCGGAAATCGTGGCCATGATTACCTCAAGAACCAGCGAAAATATTGCTAAATCGTGGAATAACATATGTCCGGAGTATTAAATGCGAGGAGACGTGCGCCTCATCAAGCGTCCGAAACTTTTCAGAAAGGTTCAAAAACTTTCCCGCCAAGAAAGGAATCTTTACTAACTTCCAGGTGACACAAAGATGTGCCACCAGAAAGCAAGGGACTATCCGTATAGGGTAAAATCAGTTCATATTAAATGCTCGAATGAGAGAGTGACATGTGGAACCGGAGGGTAGACGGAAGATGAAGAACGTGGAAACCAAGACCGAGGACAGCGACTTCGGTTGGCACCAGGTAGATCCCGAAGGGAACATTATCAGCGGGAGCAAACAAATATTTGCCACCAGATGACATTCAATAAAGAATATTCCTCAGTATTAAATATGCAACTGTTACAGAGAATTTTAGCATTCAAGATTTGTCGTTATATATTCATCAATAGCCCCATTATTGTCATTTAAGAGGGGCTTGATCCTATAACTTTGTTCCCTAGGTATAACTATAAATAGTGGCTTCAACAACCATTGTAACTAGGGGTGAGCATAAAATCCGAAAAATCGAATTCTGAACCGAATTTAATTCGGTATTTCGATTTCGGTTAATTCGGTATTTTGGTACTACTTCGGTATAAATATTTCAGCAATTCAGTATTTCGGTACGGTTCTCGATATTGAGGTTTCGATATTCCGGTATACCAAAATATCGAAATATTAGGTTTAATAGTTTATCCCAATTTCAAATAGTCCAGGGCAGCCCAACACAAAGATGATACCGTTGAGCCCAAATCTAATTTGTTACCCTTAGGCCCAAGTCCAACCTCATTTAGACTAACGATAGAAAATTAGGAATTAGCATACCTAGGGCTGGATAGGAATTTTCAATTTCTCACCTTTCTCTCAATTCTCAAAAGCTCTGTTGCTGACCCGCTGTGACCTGTGAGTTCGAGTTCGAGCCTTCGACTGCCGATTGTGCGACAGAGACCTCGGCGATGACGACTTCTCAGTTCTCTCATCGGCGACTGACAGTCATTGTTCAATCTTCATTCTTCAACAGGTTTACAACTTCTCGCCTTCTTCATTCTTCAACTTCTTTATTTTTTCTTGAAATTTTGATAGTGATTTTATTGCCCTTGTAAGCAGCAGTTGAGGTGTTGAAATTTTGATAGTGATTTTCTCAGTAAGCAGTAATATAAGGCTACTTTATATCTTTCTCTTTAATGGACCAGACGTCTTGAATATTTTCAATTAAGTTGTTCTTCTTCATTTATTCAGGTGGGTAGAATTAAATACCAACTGGATTTGTTATCCTTAAAAGAGATGTGTAGTTACTTATAGTTATTTGGTCTTGTAGTTGCAGAGGATGGAGGAGTCATTTGGGAGTTCGACAAATGAATCCTTGAATATTTTGCACTTGCTTCGTTTGCTCCATAGTTTTCCATTTTCTCTTTTCACGGCGAGTAGTTCACATTGGCCTCTATAGTTCAAAATTTTGTATATAGGATAATACACAATTTATTTTCTAGCTGTACATTTGAGGAGCAGTGACTACATTGATGTAGTTAATTAATTTTAGTTACATATTCCTCTTTTATTATAGCATCATATCCTAACACATTGTTGTTACTACATTTTAGAAGCTTGAACAACTTGATCGAAGTAAGATTTAGCTCAAGAAGAGACGTTTCACGTTAGGCATAATCTTAATTCTTGGGAGATTTGAAAGACTTTGGTATGATACAGAATCGTACCGAACCAAATAAGAAAATACCGAACTACTTTGGTACGGTATTTAGTACGCACAATTGATATATCGAATACCGAAGTACCGAACTACAGTTATTAAATACTGAACCGAAGTACCGAACACCCATCCCTAATTGTAACATTCGAAAATTCTGACAAACTTATGCTACACATTGTTCCCAAGCTAAATAATACTTTATTTTCTGTCTAACGTTATTCTTATTGTTGTCTTCGGAAGCCTTGCTCCCGGAACCAAGCTATCTGTTATTTATCTCGATTTCAACTCTAAGTCTTGCATTTTATTTAATTTATTTATCATTTTGAGATCAAATCGATTCGCTTGTCTATAAATCACGTTATAAATTAAACTGTACCGTTCTGCTATTTATCTCGATTTCAATACTATGTCTTGCATTTTATTTAATTTATTTATCATTTTGGGATCAAATCGATTCGCTTGTCTATAAATCACGTTATAAATTAAACTGTACCGTTCTGCTATTTATCTCGATTTCAATACTATGTCTTGCATTTTATTTAATTTATTTATCATTTTGGGATCAAATCGATTCGCTTGTCTATAAATCACGCTATAAATTCAACTGTACCGTTTTACGGACAAACAGAATCAGCCGTTGGCATTAGGTAGCAATGTAGCATGGTTCTATCACAAGAACTAAGAAACGGAAAAGAAAATCCTGGACCGCACAGTAACGAGCACAAAAATTTAAAAATTGTCAAAACCTCTATCACTATTGGCTGGCCTACTGCAAGTGCCTAAATGACATTTGGAGTAAAAGGCTTAAAACTAACAGAAATAAGATATTCTATATGAACTTAAAACATGAATCGACTTAAAAGGATGGACAATATTTCCATCCCGAGGAAAAACCAACTAAAAATTTTGGGGACAAACACTTCTAAAGAATGAAGTCAATTAATCTCTTTTCACAAGCATTGAGATGCTTCATCTGAGAAGCGATCTTGTAAAATGCTCACGAGCCGTTGCCAAAGCTTGACTGATTGTCTGAAAATTATAGAACACACCAAACATGCAGGTTAATAGCTACGCAACATGAGAATAAATGCCTCCGAAGTATAATGAACGCTGTAGCTCTTTTAATATGTAATAAGTAGGTTCCCTTTTAGGTACTTACAACAGTAGAAACCAAAAGAATAAAGAGGTAATGAGGTTTTCAACTAGAATATGTGAGAAGCTTCAGAAACTGAGAGTTCACTTGCCAAATAAACAACTCAACAGAACAATGTTTTGCATGAGATTTTCAAATAAAGTTACCCATTCAACAATTTTAGAACAAAGAACACTTTGCATGAGATTTGGGTTTGTCAAGATTTTATCCAAGCAAAGAAGATGAAATGCTTTTATTTTTAATTTCTCTAAGGGTTTTGCTACAGAAAAATTAGATTAGCCTCCCAAGAAAAAGAATCAGATATAACGGATATAACCTATGTTCCAGACAAAGGGATAGTTGATTGATTAAACGAATACAACCTAAAGAATTGTCTCACTTTTATTTGTTCTTCTGGCAATTAGAATTATACATATGGCTCATGCAATTGACATGATTCGGACGTTCTAAAATAACCCTTTAGAAAGGGTTGCCTCCTAAAAGGTTCTAACTGAGTTCAGTGAATCAGATGTCTTAAACCATCGCCCAACCAGCAAAACAATGTTTCAATCTTGAAAACCAGGGTCCATAGAGGAACCTGGTTTCTAGACCCTCAAAGGAAGGGGGTGTCATTCTATTGGTCCAAGAGGCCTAATATCATACTTTTACGATCATCCATCATATTCCTGAGGTCCTCTCATAACCTAAATCTCCAAAAGATTGAATATTGTCTAAAATATGATTCAGCAAATATAAAGAATTGTTGCTTACCTGCTCGGAAATGGGTGACCCATCATCCATATTATGACTAGCAACTTTGCCAGCAATGACACTACCATCTGTTTCAAGAATCATCCTGCCAAATTATTTAATAACACCAAAAGTTTTAGGTAAAAGTTCTCCCATGTAAAGAGTTTCTGGCCTTCTGGGTAAAAAAGAGGAATTAGCTTACGTGATTCACAGAATATGAACTTTAAGCAAACTAATTGTTAATTGTTTACTTATATTAGCTTTATCTAATAAGAGGACTATGCCTCTATCAAAAAACTTGAGGTATGCTTTCTGAATTTCCTATCAGGATGAAGAGTATTTGAACCAAAATGCTTCTACTACAGTTCTGATATGTACTTTTAGTTTATGCAAACCACTAACATCACATTAGTCCGTTGGCTTAAAGAGGAAACAGAAACAAAAAGGGGGGGGGGNTATGAGAATAGCTTAACCTTTAGTAGCCAAAACCTATATACATCCTCCAACTGATTCAGTTTTCGCTTAAAGAAAACTTTCTGCTTGATCCAATTTCTATGAAGTTGTGATGACACAATATGTCATCTTTAAATTTAACATTCAATTATGTGCTCCAAGACCTCGAATAGCAATATCCAGCATTCCTCGACTTGTGTGCGCAGTCCGTATACTCATTTAAGTTGACTTCGGTCAACGTTTTGAGCAAACGGAACCGGATCAGTATTATGACGGGCCCGGTGAGTTTGTATCATGATTTGGGACTTGGGCGTATGCCCAGAATCAAATTTGGAAGTCCCTAACTCGAATTATCGCCATTTGACGGAAACTAGAAACCTAAAGGTTAAAGATTTCCAAAGTTTGACCGTAAATTTGACTTTGTCGATATCGGACTCGGATTGAGATTCCGGTAGTTGGAATAGCTCCGTTATATCATTTGGAACTTACCTGCAAAATTTGAGGTTATTCCAGATTGATTTGACATGCTTCGACGCGAGTTATAAAATTGAAAATTTCATAAACTTATAAGTTTGAATCGAGGTGTGATTTGTAGTTTCGACGTTGTTTGACGTGATTTGAGACCTCGATTACGTCCTCGTTATGTTACAGGACTGGTTGGTATATTTGGACGGGGTTCCGAGTGGCTCGGGTGAGCTTCGGACGTGATTCGGATCGTTTAGAGCATGTTGAATGAAGCTGGTTCTGGGCAGTACCTGGTGTCGCACCTGTGAAATTGTGACCGCAGATGCGCGTCCGCTTCTGCGAGAAGTTGGTCGCTTCTGCGACGTTTGAACATGTCCAGTGGAGTCGCTTTTGCGGAAGGAGGACCGCAGTCACGCGATCGCATCTGCGGAAGGCCTATCGCACATGCGATATTGAGGCTCCAGGTCGTCCACTTCTACGATATTGTGGTCGCTTCTGCGGAATCGCTGAAGCGATAGAAGGCTCGCAGGTGCGAAGCCTGGACTGGGCAGTGAAGGCCGCAGATGCGGTAAACAGCCGCAGATGCGAGATTCGCAGAAGCGAAAATTGAGTCCGCAGATACGAAAATGCTGGACAGAATGCATAAATTCGGGAGTTCAACATTTTTGCTCATTTTTGAATTTTAAGTCTCGGATTTGGACGATTTCAGAGAGGTTTTTCACAAGATTGAACTGGGTAAGTATTTTTTATCCTAAATCATTTATATTTCATGATTCCATACTTATTTACATCATGAATACGTGAATTTAATTGAAGAAAATGAGATATTTATAAAATCTTCCAAAAATATAAAATGAAGATTTGAAAGGCAATCCGATGTCGGAATTCGATAATTTTTGTATGGTTGAACTCGTACCGGAATGGGTGTTCGGATTCCGTAATTTTTCGTCGGATTCTGAAAAGTGGGACTTTTCCGAAAATGACTTAAATTAAGTCTCTTTCGAATTGTGAATAATTTCTAAAGCTCAAATTGAATTGTTGGTAAATAAATTGCTAGGTTTGGTTGGTTTAGAGACTAATTCGAAAGGAAAGGTCGTGGTCGAGTGATCACTTGAATTGCGAAACAAGGTAAGTGTCGTGACTAACCTTGACTTGAGGGAATAGAACCCTTGAACTATGTGTTCGTGAATTTCATGTGTAGCGGCGTATAGACAAGGTGACGAGTGTCTATATGTCGTCAAATTACTTGTTTCCATGTTTTTACGCATTTCACCAATTGTCTTATTTCATGAATTAATTGTTATATTAATTGATTTCCTTATTTCCATTGCCTACTATTATGCCATGATTTCATGCCTTAATTGCTACCTGCTTATTTGACTTTGGCGTCATAATTGCTACTTGACATTTAGCATTTTATATATTAAATTGTCTATCTCCTCCTTGATTCTACACTTATTTATTACTTGTCCCTACTTGTTTCCTGCATAAAACATAATTGTTGTATACCTTGTTGTCTTATAGTTTCATATTAATTATGGCATTTATTGAAGTAGTTTTACGTATAAGTATTGTTAATTGATATTATTGAGGAGCGGGTTGCACGCCGCAACAGAATTTATTTAAAGCTTATATTGTGGGATCGGGTTGCATGCCGCAACAGAATTAATTGAAGGTTTATATTGAGGGATCGGGTTGCACGCCGCAACAGAATTTATTTAAAGCTTATATTGTGGGATCGGGTTGCATGCCGCAACAGAATTAATTGAAAGTTTATATTGTGGGATCGGGTTGCATGCCGCAACAGAATTAATTGAAAGTTTATATTGTGGGATCGGGTTGCATGCCGCAACAGAATTAATTGAAGGTTTATATTGAGGGATCGGGTTGCACGCCGCAACATAATTTAATTGAAAGATTATATTGTGGGAACGGGTTGCACGCCACAACAGAATAATAAAAGAAATAATTGATTGTGACTGTCGAATTGGCTTCGAATGTTGATATGAGTAACATGTTTTACCTCTATTTCTGTTATTATTATTATTATTATTATTATTATTATTATTATTATTATTATTATTATTATTATTATTATTATTATTATTATTATTGTGTACAGGTTAATGTAAGCGACCTGCCTTAGCCTCGTCACTACTTCGTCGAGGTTAGGCTCAGCAATTACAGAGTACATGGGGTCGGTTGTACTCATACTACACTCTGCACTTCTTGTGCAGATACCGGAGTTGGTCCCGGCAGCGTACCATAGACTTGCTCGGATTCAGCTGCTAAAGGAGACTTGAGGTATAACTGCACGACGTTCGCAGCTCTGAAGTCCCCATCCATTTTATCTTAGCTGTGTATTTTCTTTCAGACATCTTTATTTTTATTCAGACCCTTATTTGTATAATTACACGACGTTCGCAGCTCTGAAGTCCCCATCTATTTTATCTTAGCTGTGTATTTTCTTTCGGACAGCTTTATTTTTATTCAGACCCTTATCTGTATTATTCTAGAAGCTCGTGCACTTGTGACACCAGTTCTGGGATGGTATTTAGACATCGCTATTAATTTGGCTTATTCACTTATTTTCAGATTTTATTCCAGTTATTGGTTTCTTTATTATTATTTAAATTAAATTGTTAAAAATGGCTAAAATTATTCTTACGTTGGCTTACCTAGCAAGTGAAATGTTAGGCACCATCACGGTCCCGAAGGTGGGAATTTCGGGTCGTGACAG